TAAAAAAAAAAAAAATTGCAAAAATCGCTTTTCCAAAATGCATTACTCATCGAGTACTCACTATTGGTGTCAACATACGATCCAAGTTTCACTCTTTCCACTCCTTCTCTGGAAGACAAGCGAAAATTTCAAAAATATTTCAATCTCATTTTTCTCAAAAACTACTAGTCCGTTTGAAATGAAGTATTAGACTTTTTTGTAGATCTCGTCAAGCTCTACAAAAAAGCCTTATACCACTTTTCTAACAAATCGCCCGTTTACGAGATATACCACTTTGAATAAATGTACAAAAAAAAAAGTCGCTCTTCCAGAATGCTTCTCTCAACGAGTACACACCATTGATGTAAACATATCACTCAACACTCACTCTTACCACTCATTCTCTCGAAAACCGACCAAAATTTCAAAAATAATTCAATCTCATTTTTCTCAAAAACTACTGGTCCGTTTGCAATGAAGTATTAGACTTTTTTGTAAACCTTATCAAGCTCAACAAAAAAGCCTTATACTACTTTCCTAACAAACCGCCCGTTTACGAGATATAACACTTTGAAAAATTGTACAAAAAAAAAAGTCGCTCTTCCAGAATGCTTCTCTCAACGAGTACACACCATTGATGTAAACATATCACTCAAAATTCACTCTCACCACTCATTCTCTCGAAAACGGACCAAAATATCAAAAATAATTCAATCTCATTTTTCTCAAAAACTACTGGTCCGTTTGGAATGAAGTATCAGACTTTTTTGTAGATCTCATCAAGCTCTACAAAAAAGCCTTATGACACTTTCCAAACGAACCACACGTTTCCAAGATATTTGACCTTGAACATTCAGACACCCTTTTCTGACTTTCACATGAGAGATACAGGGTTGGTCTCCATAAGCAAACTTGTAGCACTCCTCAAGCTCCACACATTTGGTCCTATAGCACGACCCTGTATCTCTTACCGTTTACGAGATATATGCAATTGAAGATCTAAAACTAGGTATTCCCACAACTTTTATATTTTACATTATTTTGAAACTGCACCCCTATATTCTCAACCTTCATTCGATACTCTACAACTTCACCAAAAAAAAAAAACTCGGCAAACCTATAACCCTAACAAACCGCCCGTTTACGAGATATACCACTTTCAAAAATTATAAAAAAAAAAAAAAATTGCAAAAATCGCTTTTCCAAAATGCATTACTCATCAAGTACTCACTATTCGTGTCAACATACGATCCAAGTTTCACTCTTTCCACTCCTTCTCTGGAAGACAGGCAATAATTTCAAAAATATTTCAATCTCATTTTTTTCAAAAACTACCGGTCCGTTTGCAACAAGGTATAAGACTTTTTTGTAGATCTTATCAAGCTCTAAAAAAAGCCTTATGACACTTTGCAAACGAACCACACATTTACGAGATATTCGACCTTGAATATTCAGACATCCTTTTCTGCCTTTCACATAAGAGATACAAGGTTGGTCTATATAAGTAAACTTGTAGTACTCCTCAAGCCCTACACATTTGGTTTTATATCACAACCCTGTATCTCTCACCGTTTACGAGATATATGCAATTGAAAATCTAAAACTTTGTATTCCGACAATTTTTATATTTTACATAATTTTGCAACTACACCCCTATATACTCAACCTTCATCCAATACTCTAACACTTCACCAAATAAAAAAAACTCGGCAAACTTCTAACCCTTCGCAACAGCATTCGTTTTTGTGACACGCACACGTCGTATTCGATCGTTGAGATTTTCGAACCGTTTGCTTTTAGTTTGTCCGTCCTTCACCCGTTGTGTTTGATCGTCGGAATTTCTCTTTGTCGTTTACTTTTCACTCGCGCTACTTCGCATGTAGTCTATCCCGGACGAGCCCCCACGTTATAGCGGTACTTTTGCCGCTATTTTTTTTTACATTAATTTATTTGGTTATTGCACGGAAGATTTTACGGTATTTCCGTGAGATCAGCAAAGACCGGGCTGCAAAGCAACACACTGGGGAAAAACGTTAAAACGATTTAATGAAGGAATAATCAAAGAAAATACAAACGTAATAGTCTTGATACAAATGTTCACGGTATTAGTCTCTCGGTTACATTCTTCTTCGAATAATGACCGGCGTCAACGACGGTTAACGGAGAACGACTCTCCGTAATGCTCGCTCTGACTCGACAACATATCGCGGATCGTAGGTGACCGTTCATTCGGAAGTATTTACATTTTTGTAGAGGCCGTTTCGCGTTAACTTCCTACAGTATATAGCATAACTTATACAAAAACATTCCATTTACAAGTTTAAGGTTATCCTTAATTGTGCAATTAATGTAAGACGTTCAATGTCATAATGATATAAAAGGCGGATATTTTTGTAACATGTGTATGCGAGAACCCGAATATACTACTACAATGTATCTAACGTTTTGGGTGTGGCTTTGGGATATTGGGAAATTATTTTCAAGATTCTTGGCGTGTTACTGAGGGAGCGGGGTGACACTAGCACACATTGTCACCCAGGAGACGATGCAGCGCGAAATAATCACATTTGATGTCATTTTCGAAAATATATATTTTTAAACGCGAAAGATACTTCAAAAACTCTAAGTAACTATGTCAGAATGTGCTCTACATTCTAACACTATATGATCTAACCTAGATCGCGGGACCCCCTATAAAGATTATACCCTGCTTTAATTTTTGCGCTACAACTCTTAAGGAACTTTTCTCTTGCAACAAAAACACAATGTCATAAATCTGCTAGAGAATTGAAGAATGGTTAGGTATTTATAGGAATGGATGGGAATATTTTCCGATTAAGTAAAGTAAATTCATATGCACATCTTTTTGTAAATTATAGATTACTTGTGATAGCCCTGTAAAATTAGATAAGGAAACATCTAAAATCAAATAGGCTTTTATATATGTTGTTTTATGCTTCTTTCTCTTACGATATAACGCTTTAATAAGCGATTTGTCTCAAAACTTAAAAAAAAATATTAAAGTAATGCACTTTCGCTGTGTTATGTATTAGTTTCGGTTTTTTTTTTTTTTAATTATAAATTCTGTTGGCAATATACGTTTGCGAATATATCGTGCACAATTACATAGTTTGTCCATATAGACAAAGTCAGTGCATGCATACATTTTAACTTTCGAAATCAATAACCCAACAACACGTAATATTACATATTACATAAATTATACGTAATATTACATAAATATTATGTTGCACAATTATTAGTAATTTTGTATCGGTTGTTATCACAAATATTAATAACTCTTATATTTATTAGCATTTGTATAATTTTAATATAGTTCATATTTCAATTTGTCATATGTTGAGTGTATGTTAAGCCTACTTAGTGAAGGTACCATATCGTCGTAATGTGTGAGGATTTTAAGACTACTTTCACCATAATTTCTTGTAATACCTTTTATTACAAGCACAGGTAATTATTAACTTATTTAAGACAGTAGAAGAAGTTTTAACAGTATTTTATATTGTATCACACAAAATAATATTACGCGAGTTAAAAGCATGTATATCGAAATTCTAATTTTAAGCTGAAAACGCATTTACTGGATATTTGTATAATTTATACATTTATATATTTGGATATTTGTTTATTTTGTCTGTATATTATCTACGAACTAGTCCGGCATTATGTAGCACACTGTAGATTTTTTCCCTGGGTATTTTATCTGTTTCTCTATCAAGTACCTGCAAAATCAACATAGAAACCTTAAATAATTCCACAATGTCGATTTGCCTTTTCACTTTGACTACTTTTTATTTCGAATATATCGCAATCTCATTCTCATCGTATATATGATCGAAATATCAAATAATATCTTTTATACTGTCATGTTTCATAAAGCACGTTAAAAATTTTTCGTTATATTAGAATATGTAGTGTAATGAAAGAATTGAGTTAATAATATAAACTGATGTAAACTTTCAATTGGCAATTTGTCTACAAAATCATTGTACCTGTGATTCTTTATCAATAAACCAGGACTCTTTAGCAAGACCAGCTGCAATGTTGGAATTTTTATAAAAATCATTTCGCAATTCGTTAGGCAAATTATCTTCCATAGCAGAATTAATTAAGACAGCTGGATGAGCGAGCACTGTTGTGGGATGAGCGACGAAAATCGGCGTAGCCACACAAGTTGCCATCAATGTAAACAAAATGATGACGTTCATGCTGTTAGTAGGCATTTGATTCCTTCCAGTATTCCTCTGCAACGTCGGACACTTTTTCTCCAGGGCCGAAGAAACGAAATTTTAAATTAATTTCATTTATCATCGTGAAAATTCATATTATATTAAATTAGATTATAGCATTTCAATTCTCATCACTCATGAGCAATGATTTCTGCTATCTTGCAACTTTATACAATTAAAACTCGAATAACTTAGGTAACGATACACGAATAACGCGAAAATCAGCGAGTTACGCATAGTTTCATAGTAAATCCACACTTACCTCTCGGAACTGCCAAGATTTGCGATATTTCGTGACGACGTGTTTACCTCGTGCGTGTCTTACTGAGTGCAAGAGTCGTAACGGCTGTACTTATATATATACGCGTTGTCCGACCGGTGTTCTCGGCACGATAAAATTATATCCGACGTCTCTTATTCATTCGATAACTCTCTGTCTCTTTTCCTTGTCCTTACCTTCCGACGAGGTCGCTAATCTCCCATTGAACTGAGTCAAGGGTGACAATCTCCTCGACTTCTGAAGTACCACTAAATATCATAAAATACATCATTTTCCTCATACTCTTGAATTTCATCGATTTTATGTGCACGTCATAAACATTAGCATTACGTCGTAAACGTTGAAAGCGTCCAACGAAAGCACGTAATGGTACACAGTGTGAATATCCAATATCTGCTATACGTAATCGGGAGAGAGTGTTACTCTGAACTTGTGATCAGAATCGAATCAGATCGACCAATATATTTCTTTTCATCCTGTAAACTCTGAGTTCAACTACTTACGCAAATAGTACTTTCAGCGCACATACTACTTTCCGGTTTGCATTATGCATATGGCGTTTCGACGTAATGCAGTCAGAACCGGATTTGTTTTATGTGTGACCAAGCAACAATTTTTAGCATTATATCGCCTTAGACTCAATTATTATTATACTGTTGTTAGAACTAGTGTACAAATCGATTTTATAAAGAAAATGTGAAAATGACGAAGAAAACGAAATCGAATAAAATCTAATATATAAACATTTTCTGTAATATGTATACGATTAACTGGTTTCTAAATAAAGTAATTTTAATAAAATAAATCTAAGAAAGAGAGAGGTAACACACAGAATACATATATAGAATATTATATATATATATATATATATATATATATATATATATATATATATTAAAAGTTTTATCAAACTCTATAGTTTCTAATTATAGCTTCGTATACTGTGAGCATTAACAACTTCCTGAAACCTTTCTACGCTGAAGCTGACAAGGGCAACCGCTCAGCTGCTTATTTCTTAAAAGGTTATAACATTGACCCAAATAATGCAAATGGTTCCATTCTCTTACTCGTTAAGCGGACATAGATACAAAAGGTTTAATTCGTTTAACTGAGGAGAAATTTTTCAATAATGGTATGCGTTATTAAACAACGGCATATAAAATTTAATGTTAATTAAAAATAAAAACATCGTATTATCGCACATTAAAGTTGTACTCGTATATATTCTTAATCTTTTTAATAAAGTATTTTTAAACTTAACTATATATATATATATATATATATATATATATATATATATATATATATATATATATACAAACAGATAGACTTTAAAATGTATATTGTGTGTGTGTGTGTGTAGGGTGTGTGTTCTAGTCTCTCTTCCGCAATTTTTGTAGAAGTGTAGAACGGATTGATGTAAAAAATCTCATACCGTTTTTTGCGATATTTGCAAAAAATCTCTAAAGATATTAATTAAAAAAATCTAATAAATTATCACGTGCAATAGATGTGGTAGATGTTCTGCAGTGATATGCCGTTGTATACTTATACATTAGGTCAAACTGAACAAGAAAGTCCTCTATCATTTTGCAAATGACTACATAGGTTTTTAAGTATTAATTAAACACGATTTTTGTGCATTATCGCGCAGAATCATGTAACAATTTTCTTTCATTAATATCTAAAATCTACGTAGTTATTTGCAAATTGATAAAGAGCTCTTTTGTTCAATTTAAGATACTTTGTACACACACACATACATATATATATACATACATACCTGAAACGCGATAGATCGTTATTTTACATTCATTTCTTGTATGATTGCTCAAAGTGCATATTTCATCAATATTATCGATATTGGCAACGTGGAATTAGGCGTAAAAGCAGCGATTATTTAGTAGTACGGAAATATTTTGGAGAAATTTATAGGAGAATAAATTGTGTAAAATTCTACACGTTTACTTCATTAAAGACTTCATTAAAGTCTCTAAACGTTAAGTTGCGACCAGATAAATAAAATATAAATTTTCATATATGTGGGTACTAATAGTGGAATAAATAGTGACGTTTACATTCAAAAAAACTTTTATTGTTTTTCAAACAAAACTTTTATCGTTCATTGGAAAATGTTTAACTGTTAAAAAAACTCACACATGTTATTATCATATCTTATATATGTAATATTTTGCTTATAATGAAAAAAAATATCTATATCAAGCAGCGCAATAGTTCCGCGATAATATGTATATATATATATATATATATATTTTGCTTAATCGCATGTTGTTTACATTATACTGTTATTATTATTTGTAATAATCACAATATTCACCTAACCTATTTATTAGCTACTATTTAGTTTTAATTCATCTCCAGTTTATACTAGAAAAACATTTATACGAGAGTAAGAAAACACTTTGGAATCTTATAATATCTCAAACGTATTTTTTGTTTTTAGAAAAATGTTTTTAGAAAAATCGATATCTCGAATATTTTTTACAATTTATCGCTCTCTGAAAATATTTATCACAAAAATCATATTTTAAAAGAGAAAGTCAGCTAATATTCTTAATTGATAGTACTAGTACGCCGGAGAGATTGTTCTTTGATAAACTGGAACTGCGGTGTGTGCTACCGCAGGTGCGAGAGCTTTGCCAACTACCGGTACGGATCCATGTAGTTGCACGTGATCTACGCGAGCCGTTTTGATCAATGTAGGTTGCTGCACAGCAACTCTTTCAATTTTGGTTGCAGGCTCTACGATATCATATTCTTGAAAAGTCTCGATCGGTCTGCTGATAACAACGCGACGAGTGGATACGCGTTCTCCGGTTGGTTCAGCGTACTCCGGACTTGATGTCACGGATAAAATGCGCGCTCGTACGTATCCAGCATCACCGATTGGCGTCCCAATTGCTCCACCGCGACCAAAACCCACCTGAATATAATGTTTCCGTAACTAACAAATAAAATGAGTAAACTTAATGGAGTAAAATTAAAGTTAAAAAAAGCCACATTGAGTCTACTATAAAGTAACCATAACATATATATATATATATATATATATATATATATATATATATATATATATATATATATATATATATAAATAATCACTTACACATGTATGGAGTTACAAATGCACATTTATACTTGATATCTTTATAAATATACTCACAATCGCATATTAATGCAACAAAAGTGGGAAACACATTTATTGTCTATTAAGAAATTACCATGTGCGGAGAGAATTTTATAAAAGAATTGTTATAGAGTTTTGTAACAAAAAAACAGATCGAAATTCTATAGTAATTTATCAACCTTCTATTTGATACGTGCTATTTACATTTTAGATATTGAAATGTACTATTAAAGAATTTGCTATTGTTTCTAGCAAAATTCATCATGTTGTTCGACAAGATAGATTTTACTGACAGCTTAGAAACATAGTGAAACTGAAAAGAAAAAAGTATAGAAAAAGAAACTATAATATTCTCTCCTTTTGAAATATTTTTTAAACAGAGTATTGATTTTGCTAGCCGTAAGATTGTTTGATACCGACTCTTTGTGTGTAGAACAGTGATTCTTTTCACAATACCTCTGTAACACCGCTACGAGCAGTTAAGAGATCGATGAGTCTGTTTTGATTAATTTTACTATCCTCGGCACTGATTCTTCGACTGGGTATCACAGTTGGAGAAGGATCATGAGCGATAAACCGTGTAACAGACGTGTCCAAGGGCGTACCACTCGATTCGGCGACTACACGAGGCTCAAATTTTCGAACCTACAAAATATATGACGAAACTTTATTCGCTCGAAACCTACTGTAAATTCTTTTTACTTGTATCCAATATTGCTTTCGCCATATCGAATTTCAATACAGTATCTTATACACTTTTCTGGAAAAAAATGTTCAATTATCGCGAATAAATTGATTTTGATATTAAATGGAGACAAAAAAAGATTTTACTTTCTTCCTGATTCTCGATAAAATGACATATGTTATCATACCAAGAGATACAATCATATACCTGAGGAAGGCGCGCTCGATTAATGGCATTACGAAAATCAGGATTCTCAATCACGACGGACTCGCTTTCCACGTTATTGATACTGGGGTTATTCGGTGCTGACGTTGAGGAGGGAAACGACAAAGGCGACGATGTCGTGTGAGAGATGACAGGAGCGATCGGAAGATGAACAGATGCGACTACAGGGATGGCCGTAGGTGCGACTGGTACGTTATCAGGGATCACGTCGGCGTGAGCGTAAATGCCATGAGCATGAGGATATTCCAAAGTTTGAGTGACGACTGGTCCTTTTTGCAGCTTCGATGTCGGTTCGTCCAGCTCAACTACAGCTGACCCAGCTGGACGGATAATTACCCGCTCTTCGATGTCGTAAAATTGTTTCTGAATCGCTGGACGACGCACCTAATAGCATAATATAGATCTATTCGAATTTCGAGAAAACATTGTCGAAAAGTGAATAGTTTATGAGATATTTCATATTTTGTATTGAAAAGTATCTGCAAACAATGTAAAATATCTCGGAGAATATTCATTTTCCGATAAATTTATCTCAGTATTTTTGTACTGAACAGGATGACCACAAGAACTGACTAGTATTAGGAAAATTATGTGATACCACTTAAAATATTAAAGTTGATCTTGACAAGTCTTCAAAGTCTTTCCAATATATCATCATCTTCTCTTTTTCAAATCATAACAACTATCATTTAACACATAAAATGGCACTCTCTGTATATATATGCCGTTTACTTTAAAATTGGTTTAAAATAAGTTAGCACGCGTGCGTTGTGCATAATGAAGCGTAATAATAACAATCTGTAACCGATTACCGTGGCATTGGCGTGTTCCAGCACGCGATGCGACTCTTTTTAAGCATACCCCATTTTCGAAACATACTCACCTCAATCTTACGGCTCGTGACCGCAGGCTTCACCACATCGAGTTGTTTCTCCACCAAACCAGGTTGAGCTTCTATCGTAGTGACCGGTACATGAGATACCGTCGGTACGTGCTTGATGAAAGGTACAGCGGCTACCGCGGGTACCTGAGCGTTCGCATATCCGACGTGGTGCGTCTCGATCTTGCCGGGAATCACTGGGGCTACGTACTGAAGAGACGTCTCGACATTGTGCAATGAAGTATCGGAGACGTGCTCGAACGCCTCATCCTGCGTTTGAAGACTGTCCACATATGTTACACCCGCCGGGTTCAAGTACGGCATCCTAATAGTTACATGACCGCAAAAACCGATTTGAAGCAGCGCCGCTATTATTGCGAACAGTCGCATCCTGTGAATAAAATCGTTCTGATCGACATGGGCACGATTATTTTTTTAGTCTTTTAATGTTAAACGTAACTAAGCGAGTGCTGCAATCTCGGAGAAAGTCTGACATTCGGTTCAACGAATACAAAAGAAAAATCTATTTATTTACAATTAATGTGGTACAAACATCTGTCATTGAAACATAGAGTTTAATAGCTTTTCTTTTTTATTACAATAACTCGTAATAATATTCTTAGGTAATCCACCCGGAGAAAAGAATTGATTGTATTAAAGTATAGTTTTAATAAAACGAATCAACGTGTTTTGGTTGAAAAATGCAGAAATTCTGATTCTTATGACTCAAATTTGATTCCAAGTACCAAAAGTTCCGTTTTCTTCAATCAATACGCGTTGGTTTGTTTATTACAACCAAATTTCATATTAATATATTTCTTCTTCTCCATGCATCTAAAAATAAACGAACGTCAACGTTGATATGCCTACCAACCGTTCTCATTTATAAAACCACACGGAGACTTTGTCCATTAATGACTATCTGTTTTTTTAAGAAGAAAATAATTTCTATAGAAATTATCACCTTGCAGCCAACGAAGTGAATAGTACGCGATGCAACGAAGGGTTATGAGACTGTGTCTTAGCCGTGGCACTCCGACTTACTTATATGGACACATGAGGGGCAATACAACCGCCCCTTCCAACAAAGATAATCACGTCGGTGCCCCTTCCAATGAAACAAGGGTCTGGCCTGTCAGGTCCGGTCAAAATTGGGTCGGTCTGCCTCTGTGCGTGAAATGGTGCTCGCGAATTCGAGCATTGATGTTGATCAAACTAATATTGGATACTTTAAATTTAATAAATTCAATAAGTTGATGTAGAACCTCGCACACGTGTGAGAATCTTTAGTTTAGTCGTAAGGAGCGTAATAATTCATTTAATTACTCGTTGGATTGGCTAATATTGATTAATTATAACGATAGGAGAATAAAAGAGTAAAAGTGATAGCTGAGAGAAAATTGGTCTTACGATCGACAAAGACGATGTGATTGTGTGGATTGCAGCTGTAAATTCGAAAGTGAAAAATTTATTTCGGTCGATAATTTCTCGACTGACTCGATTGTATAGTCGAATTGCTATTCGTATCACGTACCTGAGTTTACTTGAAATTCAACGCTTCCAATATCGGTGGTAAATGCAAATTCGCATTCGGAAATATGCCTTACATTCTCTGAAGCAACATCCTAGGTTTTTTATTATCGCATCATATTTTTACCAATTCATTTTTACTTTCTTATTCTTCTTTCGAGTTACGAAAGCAAGTGTAGTAGTTTTAGTAAAAAAACCGGTTCGACGAGTATCGTGAAAACATTGAAATATCGATCGATAAAATAAAAAAAATGTAATCTGTTGGCAAACATGATCGATTTACATTTGACAAACATCACCATGTCCTTGACCTTCCATATGTGATGGTTCGATTAATATAAAGAATGATACAATCTCCGCCTTTTTCGATCGGTGAAAGTGGATCGGTGGACAGTGTATATACACACTGCGAACATAATAAAGAGGCAGCCACGATAAAGTCACCTAATTTTAAGTAGAGAGAATGGTGCATCTTTGTAATCAACAATCCATACGTGGGATTGTGTTAAATTAGACAGGGTGGCGATCGATTTGTGTAACATTTACGATACAACAAAAAACACGATAGAATTTGACTCAGAATAAGATTAAAAATGTATTAAAGAAAATGTAATAACAATCGCACAATAATTTATGGACTGTGAGTCAAATAATTATTATTGCTTCATTATTTTCTTTGGTTTACATAACTTAGTTTTACATTTCCTTGGATTTTATCAGCAGATCAGCAAAAATAGGGCATTCTTTGAATGTTCTTGAATATCGCAGTGCCCAAGAACCTGTCGTCCTTCGTAATGTAATTGTCGATGTTTAAAGTGTACGCACTTATTGCTTTAACCTCATATATCATATAAACTTTTGCGTACGAAACCAATTGCACCGATTCAAGGAGAAGAATCGCTCACTTCGTATGCTACTTTTTTTACTTCGATACATCCGTATGTTAGATACGTATGCAAAATATTTCATTCACATGCTGTAGTTTTAAAAATAAATTTCTCGACAAATATAAACTACGCAAATTAAGCAAAAATATTTTTTGCAATAATATTACGAGGAATATCATTTTCGCATTTTCTTGCACTTTATGAAGATACCAATGTAAATGACAAATGTCGATAACATTGAGACGATCTTCATAACATCGTTTCAGAGAAATATCTACACGATCACACTACTCTTTCTGTAACTTTCTTGTGCATACAGATCTTATATAAATAAATGTGCTGTTTTGTTTTGTCACATTTAGCGGAACATATTAATTAACGTATGTAAAAAAATATTTCTGCGACCTTTTTGTATTCTATTTTTAAGCTTCTAAATTTTACTGTAAAGGTACAAAAGTGTTCTTTAAAGCTTTCCTGAGCGTATCAAACACAAGTTTGGTGCGTATAAACTGCAGAATTGTATTAGTCAAATATAAAACTTTTGTATTAGTGAAATATATTTACGCAAACTGACAACTCGAGATGTCAATTTTGAAACTTTTTATCGTTTTCGTCACGTATTGAGTAATGCTCGAATTCATCTTCTCGTGCGCGCGCGTACATACTTTCATTTTTTAAGAACATTTATAATTCTGTACTATTAATCAACGTAAATTTTGCAAAATGAATAGTAGTATGTTGTCGAGTAAAATTTTCAAGTAAAGCATTCTTTTAAAGGAAAGACTTTTTGCAAATTAAGAAAACCTGAAGGTCATCCGATGAAAAGTGATCCTTCAATTACTTGGAGAAACGCATGTCTCGGAGTCTTAATGATACTGTAGCGCAACGTTTGAAAACAAAATGAGCGTTTATTGAAAAACACGTTTCGTACTCCACAATCATGTAATCGACTGTCTCTGTTTACGGAACGTTTATTGTATCGCAATCATAGTTATCACATGTATCATAATTATCATACGTAGTAAGATGAAGAGCGTTACTTTCTATAACACGTGACCAATTCATTTTCTTTCACATTGCAAAATAACAAAGTTTAAAGAGATGTGCAAAAACAAGTAAGAGGAAGCGAGTAGATTATACACATCACAAAGTAAAATTTTTAAACATGTTTATTAGTTAAATTCTAATATTTACAAAGAAATATAAATTAATAATCGTTCGACTCAGCACCGTCGCACTTACCATCTACAGATAATAGCGCGTAAGGCCGTGCATCGTTGTGCGTCAGCTTTACGTTACAAAAAAATTAGGTTCACTTTGATCAAATTAACGCAACAATCTTCCGTCCCGACTTATTAACTCGTGATACGAATTGTACATAATTTAACATAAGTCGTAAATTTTGATACGACACTCTAGAAAAACTACGTAATATCGTCTGATCATCTAGCAATGGGCAAGGTTGAAATTGCATAAAAAATAACTCGAACGTTTCTTCTTTTTTATCAAATTGACATATTCTTATCGAAGGACCAACTTGAAAAAATGTATCAAATATAAAATAACGATGAAATATCAAGCAGCAATAGCAGTCGATCAGATTCAATATTTCCGCACGGAAAATTAAAACTCAAAAAAAGAAGGAAGATAGCCACATTCATAAGAAAAAAAAAAAAAAAAAGAAAAAAATAAACAAAAGAGAAATTTAAAAAAAGATCGACTCGGTTCGAGTTTCCTACTTTGCCATCACCTGCTGACAACGACAAAGACTACACGGCGAAAACTACTCGTTCTGCCTGAATGGCGGTTGTCTAGTGCCAAAGCTAGACTCCAAGGGTATCAAGTAGGTGACCTTCTCGCTAGCGCCGGTATCACCCTGCTTGAGAACGGACGTATTCTTTCTGGTGGGTCTTTGCGAATGCTGTACAACCTCCTCATAAGCGACGTACTCGGGCCTGACGACTGGCCGCTGCTTCTTCAAGTAATAAGCGGCGGAGGTGCTCTCCGGCACGTAGCTGCGCTGAGTAGGTTTCACCGTCTGAGGTATCGGGGTAACGCTGTAACCAGCGTTGATCAGAGCAGACAGCTCCTCTTGGGTCAGAGGTTGTTGATCCTTGGGCGAGGGAATACGTACGACTTGAGGTCCGTTGAGCGAATCTTGGTCGATAATCTCCTCGACGGTGAAAGACTTGACGGGCGACTTCTTCAGGAGACCCGACTGGGAGATATAAACGGAAGACTGAGTTGGCGGGACCTTCAGTTTGTGCAGCTGACGGGGCTGATTGATAACGGGGCTTGACTGAACGTCCACTTGGTCTCGGGACTCACCGGACTCTGGCTTCGGTACCGACCTAGAAACGTAAGTGGAGCCGGAAGTCTGATACTTGTTGTCGTCGTTGGTGAAGTAACTATTAGGCGGCGGGAGCTTGGGAGTATTAGGCAGGAGGTATTGAATAACCGGTGTGCCATCGGGATCGACTTTCTTAGATACAGCCTGAGCTCTCGCGGCCGCCAAGATCTCGTTGTTGGCCTTGGCGCGCGATTGCTGATAGACCTTATACAGAGCCTCAGCTTGGGCCTGTGCCAAAGCCTGCGCCTGAGCTTGTGCGCGCAATTGATTTCTTTCAAAGTTCAAAGCATCGTTATGGGCTTTCTCTTGAGCTTTCACAGTAGCATCCTGCTGAGCTTCGACATGACGAATGGCGTCTTGATGCGCCTTGTATTCAGCGGCTGTTTGCAGCCTTCTGGCTTCAGCGGTTTCGGCGGCAGCTTGAGCCTTCAGCTTGGCCCTGTAAGCGGCCTCTGGGTCTTTCGGTTCCAGTTGGCCATCGATGTGTGCTCGTCCAGCATCGCTCACTTGAGTTCCTTGCTGAATCTGCTCCAAGGCACTTTGCTGCCTGTACCTCTCGTGATCGATCCTGATCTGCTCTAAAGCAGCTTCGCGATGCTTCTGATAAGAGTCCTGGGCGATCTTTTGGAAGGCTAAGGCCTGCGCCTCAGCGTGGGCTTGAGCTCTAGCGTTCGCCTCGGCTTCAGCTTGGGCTTTTAGTTGAGCTCCATCGTCCACGTAGTCGTACTGCGGAGACGGTCTAAAAGGTCGGATGCCCTTCGTCGAGTAATCCGGCGTCTGGTGCACTGCTTGATATTGAAGTTGGACCGGCTGCTCGATGGCCTGGTATGTTGCTGCCACTCGTTGCTGCGGTTGATAACGAGGAGGTGGGCTAGTCTCGATGTGATACTGCTCAGGTAAGTGGGATGCTGGCGCTGGTGCCGCCGTTGGTTTCACGTATTGCGGCTGCGAGTAATCGTTCTTCGCTTGCGTCGGGATCAGATTGAATTCCTGCGCCTGATTGGCGGACACCAGCTGCAGTAGTTCCTGCTCGAAAGTGCCCAATTTTGGTTGAGAGTAAGACTCCAGTTGGTAAGTAGACGCGCCGGACAGTCCACGGGCTGATTGCAATGCTGCGGCATGATTCTGTGCGTCGACATGCGCCTGAGCTTGTGCCGTGGCTTCGGCATGAGACAATGCCTGAGAGTGCAGTTGAGGTCTTGGTCGTGGAGGAACTACGGCGGGTTTGCGGTAATTGTAATACGCCTGCTGCAGTGCCTGTTGCTGTTTTGCATAAGCTGGCAACGGCCTGCGCTGTGGCGCATTATTCGCATTTGTATACGCATGCGGCTCGGTTCCAGTGAATTGCTGCAAGATGGCCAAGTACTCGGGTGACAACTGAAATTTGCACATTTGCCGTATCAATCGAATGAAGGTCGATTCGCACGAGACGATTCTAGTTAGCGGTTGAAAGCAAATAACCTATTAATTGAGACTGACTATGTCTCGTCGAAGATTAAAATCTTGCCATGTAAAATAGGTCGAAACGTATGATGTATGTTTACGAAACCTGAGTTTTGGGTTTAAAGTGAAACATCCAGTTATATTGGCATCTCCGTTAGTTATTGACACTTTGAAAAAATCTGGTTTTTCTTGCATTCCAACATTACAATTAAACTACTTTTGTTTATATCTTATGATCTCAAAATAGATTTTCACAACAAAAACTGTAAACACGTGCCGCTACTCGCACGAAAAAACCAGATTTCTCTTGAATGTCATCGACTAAGGACGATGCTAGTATTCGGGTTTACTCCAATATCATCGATATTCACATGTCATCATTTACAATTGCGATTCTTTATAAAAAGAATTTTGATAAGATGATATTCGTTTGGATCTCCTCCATCCTCCCCTCTTTCACCACTTTTCCCCCTCGATCTAGGAAAAGACTTTCTTCGATATTGACTTTCGCAATACTGGTTACAAGTTTGATCGCAGGTGTCACGACAAAAAGTGGCCATTGAAGATGGCATCTTTCTCTTTCTCGTTTCGCCAGATCTTCGTGTTGAACTTGATCTTACAAGCAGACGTCGAAGGTTATTGCCCTATGAATATTTGCGACGGCATTGCACAGCGGATGGGCTAGTGACCGATAAAGGAGCGACGGTCGTTTTCTAACGCCCGCGACAATAATGATTCATCCTACTCCCGCCGTAACGGTACCGGCGGCAAGGCCGCGGGGTAGAAATAATCGCACGTACGAGATTTTATACAGCTGGATACTTACTCGCGCTCGTCGAAGTGGGTGTGGTTGTACCGGTTCTATTAGGTCGGGGCGATTAGAAGGCGTGCAAAAGTCAGCGAGTTATGCAAGCGAGCGAGCGCATTCGAGCACATGATACTACCGAGCGATCACGAGCGAGCGCGTAGGTGGCATTCGAAGAGATATATCTTAAATTGTAGCGCAACAGAGTCCCTAATTTTCTGAGAAATTCGCGAATGCGTTAATTTCTACGTAACATTGTTCATGAATCCAACTAAAGCGACAAATAATGCGAGCTATCCTCAGCGCGACGAAATTTTAATTGATACATTCGAAATTCGTGGAGAGGAGAAACTCTCGCAAAAGTGTCGATAATGATTATTGTTGCAATATTTCAAGCTCGAACAGAGTCAACTTGTTCTAAGAAGAGATCAAAGGACCGGAGGAGAGAAGCGTCCGACATTTCGCGGCTCTCGCAGGATGGAATGTACAATCTCTCGTTATCCTCAAAGTGCACCGGTGAAATGGAAATCCTCGTACAAGTAATGAAAGTAATTGAGTCGAGCCACGAGTCTTACTCGCACGTTGCGACAGAACGCCTAGATGTTAAAGGTGTCTTTCTCTGTGCGCTGTCGCGCTCGTTTCAAGCACAGTGGAACAAAAAAAAGCTGTTGTTCATGGCTAGTTAGTCAGCGACTTAGTGGGTGATAGGCGGTCAATAGTTACGGTTGACCGCCGACTATGACGCTAAACGCTCGATAAAACACGCTCAATCCCGGACGTTCCTCCAATGATGCGGTTAATCTCGCCAAGATGATTTAACACGACGTACCTCTCGACCGTCATCACCGTGCCGAACGACGAATTGGCTGGGTGAAGCTCCATAAACGGCACTGGTTGAGACTGGTGACCTCTTGACAGGATCTTTGACATCGATCTCCAGCATAACGATGTCATCGGCGTTGGCCGAGGACGATTCCGTCTTCTTCACGACGCTGGCAACGGTCTCCTCTCCAGCGGAGACTGCCAAAAAACCTGTTGGTTTTTTTAAATTCTTTGTTTATTCTACTTCACATACACATTGCGCGTCATGTATGACGCCATTGTAACTAGAATTACTTACACGATTTTTCACCTAACGCATGTGTACGTAAGGCTGGAAATCGTATAAGGGAGAGTCGCCGAAACTGTACGAACCGATCTCCTAAATCATATCCCAACAATCGAATCTGATCTTCTTAAATATTTTTAGCACGTACAAAATAAGACACAAACTAAAATGTTTAATTTCTTATTGTTAATTTATTTTTTATTTTTTACCATTAGATGTCATTCATATACTCAATAATAATTGAGACATTAATGAAATTCATAAAACTGGTATGATTTCGACAACTCTTCCCTATCTCGCGATCTAAGGAAGCATATATGACCCTGACTTTATAAAGGATTGCTTTCATTTCAAGATATATTAATCGTGAGAGAGATTCGGATTCAATCGATTAAATGATTTACGGGCAAATACATTAGCGCAAATACATTAACGTAGAATATTTGGTTTGCATAACAAAGTGCGTTTGTTTGAAAACTTTTCGTATATGCCCTTCGTTGCGTAAGACGTCAAAAATTCTATGCGAGCGCTATCGCGGTGTTTGCTGGTCGAATAATCGAACGCAGAGGTGACTTTTATATCGTTCTGCTTGACTGCGAGCGCCCAACGCGCGCGGAGCTGGGAAAGTAACGCAGAGAAAGTTACAAGCGACGTGCGCTCGAGAAACTCTTCCCACGGATTTTACTTTCAACGTTTTCAGACGTTCACCGACGGAAAAGGACGAAAATCGACGTGCTGAGCATTTCGACAGATTACCAACGAATCTAGGAGAGTGATATATATAGTTCAGTACAGATAGAGAATACAATGGTTAAATCTATTTAATGATAGAACATCGGGAAGAAAAAATCACGTGTCGGCAGAATCCAATCTCGAGCATGTATTGTTAATTAATATCGTATATTAATGTACATCGATCGAATTAAGAAGGTAGTAACGCTGTGTGTCGTATTTTCAATATGACACATCAAGGGGATCAATTATAAACTTGATATTTATAGATGTAAAATTATATATATTTCTATACATTTATTTCTAAGTAATAAATGTTAATTTAAAACAAGGCTATATATATATATATATATATATATATATA